AAATAAACCGCCTTCAAAATAAAATAAACCGCCTTCAAAATAAAATAAACCGCCTTCAAAATAAAACATGTTTGGATTACGGTGATTTTGGTCGTGTTTCTTCAGATTTGTGATTTCTATGAGCTTTTCTTCATCCAGTGTGTGTGTGTGTGTGTGTGTGTGTGTGTGTGTGTGTGTGTGTGTGTGTGTGNGTGTGTGTGTGTGTGTGTGTGTGTGTGTGTGTGTGTGTGTGTGTGTGTGTGTGCCTGGTCCCATAAACCCACCCCTGACTCCGCCCCCTCAGTTCAGATCAGACACCCTATAATGCACTTCTATGAGAAACAAACGCATAAACAAAACAAAATTTACAAATAAATTAACCTGAACTCTACAGAACATCGTACACACAGATGGTGGAGCTCCTTTAAAGAGAAGCAGCAGATTTGGGGGACAGGAGGGGTCTGACTGCTTGGACCCCCCCCGTCAGGAGCTTTGGTAAACGTTTCTCTCCAGAAGGTTCTGGACGCAGTCTGAGAGTCTGGACACAAACGTGGGACTCGTCCCGCCGGTAAACACGGTCCGAACATTTGCTCCGTTCTCTGAGGAAACTGGACTTCCAGCACAAACACAGCCACACAACACCCTACATTCAGAGTTATTCATTAAATATTGATTTATTCTGTAAAAGCCCACCACCACCCCCCCTCCACCCTACAGTGCAACTAAAACAACTTTCAGTTTTAAAAGAGTCGTCCCGACGGTGGGATCAGAAGATCAACACGACTCACGTCTCCATGACAACATGAGGTATTACTTTCAAAATAAAGCGCAGTTTGTTGGAATTCTGCGATTTATCATCTGGCAACGAGCTGCTTTAACGATTCAAAACCTAAACTTTTATTGGTTTAAACTGAAGCTTTAAAATCTTCACAAAAAGGGTCGGGAGATTTTAATAATTTATTTATCATGATAGACTGTGGCGTTTATCTGATAACCTTTAATGGATGACTACTGCGCCTGCATATTTTGTGACTCTAGGGAGTGTTAGCGTTAGCTCTGTGTTAGCATTAGCTCTGCGATGCAATGACTTACGTAAGTTGCTGATCGCAGTAATCGCAAAGTGCTAAATATTAATCTGTGACTGCTTTTCAAGGATTAACTGAACAAAGTTACAACATTGCACGACCCTACTGGTACCTGGAAATACGAAGGGTTAATGTTAGCTTAACTCTTTGTTAGCTCAGCATTAGCATTAGCTCCGCACTGCAATGATGAATAAAATTCACTTATCACAGTTATTGCAAAGTGACAAATATTAATTGGTGACAGATTTTCTGGTGATTTGTTACGCGATATGATTTTGTCCAACCCTCGCTGGTACCTGGAAACATGGAGTGTTAGCGTTAGCTTAGCATTAGCACATTAGCATTAGCGTCACATCGCAGTGACGTATATAAGTCACAAATCGCAGTAATCACAACATGCCAAATACTAATCGGTGACAAATTTTTGACAATACGATGTTTTCTAACCCTGCTTCACAACGATGCCAAATATTATAAGAAGGGATTTCCTGGAGCAGAAAACTGGTCAGTTTAAAAACAGGATACGTCTTCAGAAATATCCTGTTTTATTTGATATTTTAATTCCCAGGATTGTTGGATTTTAACTTTTCCCACTGCAGCTTGAGCTCGTTCTGACTGAAGGAAAGGCTGAAGGCAGCAGGTCACCACGTCGTAAAATAAAAAAATAAAAGTGTTTTGAAATAGAGTTTAAAGGATTTGTTTGGAAGCAGCTCTGAAACCTGAGAGTCGTGTTGATCTTCTTCTCTAAAACAGAAACTTATACAATCTGTTCAACAGTTTAACAATCTCTTATAAAATGTTTACCCCTCTAAATAACTTTGGGTCAACTCTAAATCTATTAAAATAGGTTTTGTTCATGCTAAAAGCTACAAATAATATATATTTTGAAATTTATCTTTCATTGCATATAATTTCTCACAGCTTAAGATAATTTTTCCCCACAGCAGGTCTTCAGAAGTACATATATTTATATATATTAGTATTTTTGTTCAGCTAAATATTTCAGGATATTTCTGTACATCAGTTCAAGTTTTGAGTGTGCTGATGATGCTCTAACGTTAGCATGCTAAAGTCGATCCGAACAGAGCAGCTATTGTGCAAATCTGAGTCAGAACAACTGAAAACATTGAAGTTTTTTTTCCCCTCGGAGGAAACGCTTCCTTTAGCTGACATGCTACATGTTGTGATGCTGTGAAGCCGTTGGGTTTAGAAAACAGTTTGTTCAGGAAGTTGAAGCGTGGTGACTTCACTCGTGAGGCGGCGGTCCAGTTTATGCTGGTGGAAGCTTCACTCGTCAGTTTTTTTTGTAAAAGTCAGTGCAAACGTTAGCCGCTCAGCATCAAGCCGTGTGCTTTAAAGTCACTTCACCTCACTGACGTCTCTGCTCTTTTATTCTGAAAGGTTTCAAGGATGGTGACTTCCTGTTGGAGCACGACGGAGCCGTTTATTTCTTGGTTTTTTTGCTTGTTTGCTCCAAAGAGTCACTTCAGGTTCAAAGCTGTGGTTAACAGGAAGTTGATGAAGATGATGATGCTCTGACCTGAATTACACAACGTGCAATCTAATGTGCATAAATGTGTGTGTGTGTGTGTTTATTTGTCTGTTTGATAAAAAAGAAGGAAGACACTGAGATTTGTTT